ATGCATTATGCGCATCATGCGTGAAACGGAACGCATCGATTTAATTCTATCGACTTTTATACATTATGGGCCTATTCATGGATCGATTCTCAATCGATTAAAAAAATAAATAAATAAATAAATTGAATTTTTGCTGGTTACGATGACAAATGTGGATGGAATCTCAGAGACCTCACAGAATTACACTCTTAAGCATGTACCGCGTAGTATCTCCAAATTCCAAATTCGAGGTACTAATATCTAAATGGAATGACATTTCAAGTTACATACTGCTAGGAGATACTTTTCCCGGTACAGTATAGCACAAGGTACGGAATACACACGAGGTACTGATAAAGGAGGAGGTACCGATTGGAGGCACCGCACTTATAAATTCACGGTACAATTTTTTAAGAGGTACAGTTTTTTAGGGGGCTTCCCGTATGTACCCCGTACATACATACTTCGTACGTGCATATGTACCTCGTACAAATGTACCTCCTACATACGTACCTCGTATACGAGGTACTCGGCGTCAACCATGCATGATCGCGACATTTGTTGAACAAAAAACATTCGCGAATAGCAGTGGCATAGCCACTAGGTGACATCGACGCGGACGTGTCATATCGTTGCTCGAACAAAGGATTCTTAGACCGTTTTATACGACTGTTATATTATTTACGCAACTAACATAAATATGAATATATTCACAAGCAGTGACATTCGCGGAGTATTTCGCGGTACGTGCCGGGAGTCACAGTGCGAATGCATGGAATACATTCGCAAATTAGACAGTGATACAGCAGCAGCAGCAGCAGAATCGTTTATTTTGTGTACATAATGTGGTCATCCACCGACAAAACATGTATCCGTTATTTGATAAAAAATTGGAAGAAACAAGTAATGCAGGTATGTAAACTCTTAAGCATGTGTCGCCAAAAATTGTAGCTACGTAATGTACTTCCTGGCTTCGAGGTACCATCTTCCCTTCTATTTTTGATGGTAATTATGTCCCTCGTAATTACGTAAGGTTTTTATTTCAACGTGTACCTCCAATTTTTGGCGACACATGCTTAAGAGTGTATTAAAATAATTTAGATAAATGATATTATTGTAGATTTCTATTTTTTAAGTTATCATTTGAGTTTTTGAAAATCACTTTTGCCATTGGTCATAAACTTGGGTCAAATTATATTATTTCGAAAAAATAAAATGTAATGATCGCAAGCTATCAGTCAGATTTAGATGAAAATCTGAACTGCTTCGTGTTCGCCAAATACTGGGAAGACGAGAAGACTGTGCAAGAAATCAAAACCAGCGCCGTAAAACGCGACGTCGTTTTCTCTCGAAAAAATATGCGGCGTCCCGTCGAACCAACGTCGAATTTTTTCGACAAACCGTCTCGTAAAATTTTATTTCGCGCTCGTCACGATCAGAATCATTCGATCGGAATAATCGTACTTTGCACTTGTGAAAGTATAACGTGTTTGTGAAATTTAGAAGTGCCATGTGAGATCGATGGACTGTCGTAAGTGACAACATCACGAATATGGTTAGCCCCCAGGTTAGCCGTGTGGTGTTGAAGCAGTGGCGGAACCAACCGACTGCGACGAAACAACGGCTGGTGAGTAAATTTTTTTTATTACATTATATAATTAATTGTTTGCATATTTAATATTTTGATACCATTACATCATAATAATCGGAATTGATTGGTGAACAACTACAATTATTAAATAAATAATTTTATAAAATATTTTATTTATGTTGCATCGTGTAAATCAAGTTATGAAAATAATTAAAAATAATTAAAATAATGAAAACGCATTGTCTGAAACAAAAACCGTATGGAAATTTTGTAAAACCAATAGGACTGAAATCAAAACCGGTATCGTTAAAAATCATTACATCTTAAAAAAATTAAGACCCGAAGATGAAAACATAGAAAACAATGAAGTAACATCTATACGTCGAAATATCATCACTTATTATATAATCAATTCAATTTAATAAAAATTTCATTAAGAAAATTTTAATAAATCGGAACCAAAAAAACTAATTTGCGTAATACCGATACTTTTATTAGCTACAAAACCGAAATCGAAAACGAAACCTTTATAAATAAGTATTTTAATGAACCGAAACCGGAACCGAACCGATATTTTCGTTCGGTCTAGGTCCTAGAAATATATAAAGAGAAAGGGAGGGTGGGTGTTAATTTGTGAAGTCGCACAATGGCCAGGTGTTTCTTTTATGGGAATAGAGAATATGTAAAAATTTGGGTACGTTCCTTAAAAACGCCCTTTAAGGCCCCTTGGGGCAAATAAAGTACCGATTCTAAATATAAATCTAAATGTAAATAATTTAATTTAATACAAATTTCAAATAAAAACATTTTTTTTAATTAATACCGAAAAGACTGTAATTTGCCCAATTCGGATACTTTTGTTAGCTAGAAAACCGAAACAGAAACCGAAACCTTTATTCAGTATTGAATGGCATCTATTCGTATATCATTGAGCATTACCCGTACTATAGAACCGCGGATAAAAAAAGCTGGCAAGGTTCTGTACGGAATACATTGAGTCAAAAATTCATTAAAATAAAGAAAAAAAAGCTGGGGAAAGAAAGGTTTCTTCTGGAAGATACATCCAGACGATTTTTGAAAATGAGGTGCCAACTTTACAGTGGCACACGCAGTATGCATATGTAAATAATTTAATTTAATAAAAATTTCAAAAAAATTTTAACAAAACGGAACCGGAAAAAAACTAAGTTGCGCATATATTATAATCTATTGCCTTGAAAAGAATAGGCTCGGAAATGGATAGATTCTAGAGCCTAATAGAAAATATTTTTGTAAATTATGTAAATGAAAGTGGTCAGCCACTTCTCTCCCCTCCTCATTACTCAGGACTACTAACTGTCAAAATACAAAACATATGTGAAAAATAGATCTATAATTTTAAATTAAAGTCCATTAATGCTTTGCACATAATTATTGATACAATTATTATCATAATTACGTATTAAAAGTAAATCATTAAATAAAAAGCTAATAATATGTAAATAATTTAATTTAATACAAATTTCAAATAAAAAAATTTTAATAAACCGGAACCGGAAAAAACACTGATTTGCGTAATAAAACATTAAACTAAAAAATAACTCACCGGCCGATGCGCAACAGCGGAGTTGTAAGTTGGGTAAATCTGAAGAATAGTGGCCTCCTCACCAATTTCGTTCAACTTGGGCTTAATCGATGCGTTTTTGCACGAAACGACCGAATCTGGCAGAAAAAAGTGTCGCTCTGCCCCGCGAAGCGAGATATTAACGGTTAAAGTTGACAGGAATCAGGTTATGATTCCTGTCATACCGACGAGATGCAGTGACTACGACCATGCCCTGCGGCCACATGCGCATGCTCCGTAGCCGCACGCGCATGCAAAAGAAGGTCACGTGACAACTGTCTGCTTGGTAAGTACATATTTATGTGTACTTTTCACATACCAACTATTCTCTGCTTTAACAAATTATTTCTGTTACAAATATTAAGCGTTTAAGTTAACGAAACAGAAATAAAATTGTTAAAGCAGAGAATAGTTGGTATATGAAAAGTACACATAAATATTTACTTTTCATATATCAACTATTCTCTGCTTTAACAAATTATTTATGTTACAGATATTAAGTGTTGAAGTTAACGAAACAGAAATAAAGTTGTTGAAGCAGAGAATAGTTGGTATATATATGAAAAGTTCATATTTACATGTACTTTTCATATACCAACTATTCTCTGCTTTAACAAATTATTTCTGTTACAGTTATTAAGCGTTTAAGTTAACAAAACATAAATAATTTGTTAAAGCAGAGAATAGTTGGTATGTGAAAAGTACACATAAATATGTACTTACCAAGCAGACAGTCGTCACGTGACCTTCTTTTGCATACGCGTGCGGCTACGGAGCATGCGCATGTGGCCGCAGGGCATGTTCGTGGTCGCTACCAGTCGCTACATCGCGTCGGTATGACAGGTCTCATAACCTGATAGTCGCCAACTTTAACCGTTAATATCTCGCTTCGCGGGGCAGAGCGACACTTTTTTCTGCCAGATTCGGTCGTTTCGTGCAAAAACGCGTCGATTGAGCCCAAGTTGAACGAAATCGGTGAGGAGGCCACTATTCTTCAGATTTACCCTGACAGGACTGACAAGACAGCAAAGTAATAGACGAATAACAATTTAACTACTCACCCCACGGTTGCTCCGCCGTCGCCCGATGCCTCCCCAGGCCTCCTCCTCCTCTCCACGATTCGCCAGGTCCTTCTCCGTTGCAGCGTTGGTCCGTTGGCCGGTTGGCGCACTCACTATTCACTCACGACGTTCACGAAAATCGACGATAAGATCGCGTCGCTTATGATCGCGCGATATTTTCGACACTTTGCACGACACTTCCGGCATTAATCTCGCGACGCAACAGAAAAATTACGGCGGAGAAGCTGTATGATCCGCTCGACGCCATGTCCGTCGGCCCGTGCCGCGATCTCCCGCAGGTAGACGAACAAGGCGGAATTTTTTAAATCGCACGCACGGCCAACTTCACCCGCCAAAAGCAACCGTGGCGTGGCGTCGCGTCACTTCACTCGCGACGTTCACGAAAATCGACCGATATCGTCGCTTATGATCGCGCGACACTAAAGGCACGGCACTCCCGGCATCAATCTCGCGACGCGGCAACGGAAAAATTACGACGAAGAAGCTGCGAACGAAGCTGTATGATCCGATCGACACCCGTCGGCCCGTGCCGCGATGTCCATTGTCCCACAGATAGACGATAACATCGAGACGACGTTCACGAGCAAAAATCGACGACATCGTCTCTTATGATCGCGCGACACTAAAAAGGCACGGCATTCCACGGTATTAATCTCACGACACGGACGCGGCGCGTACTTCATTACACTTATTATAGGCTGCGTTCGCTTTGATTGCTTTCGGAACGTAACCGATGATCCAATGAGAAAAATTCGTTATCGAAAAAGAAATTCTCTCATTGGGCCATCCGACATAGGTGACATACGACTGATTGTATTAGAACCGGCCTTAAATGAACATTCGATGCATCACATTTTTCTGTAATCTGAATAGTCGGACCTGGCGATTCGTACTTATATTACTCTGCGATGTGCGATCCGCGAGCAACGACATCAGAAATCAGAACGGGCCGCGGGCGCCTTGGTAACATGAGCAGTGGGGATAGAGAGGGGTAGGCTTTATGCGATACGCATACCCGGCATACCGAACTAACCCACCGCGGCGAGGCGGCGACCGCGCACCGTGTGTAGTGTGTATTCACCTTACCCCCACTCTATCCCCACTACTCATGTTTACCGCGACGCCCGTGACCTGTTCTGACGTCAGACGCGCCCCAGTTCCCGTTCCCAATGTTCCCATATCGCATATATCGCGGAGTAAATACACGAGTCGCCGGGTCCGATTGTTTAGCTTGCGAAAAACTGTGATACATATATCGGCTGCATTCCGATATTCACTGTCAGCAACTTTCAGTACTGAAAATCTACAGTATACGTGACGTAAAATATAGATTTGCAGTACTGACAGTGAATATCGGAATGCAGCCATCGAAAGTTCATTTAATTCATGTGCTTCGAGGAATTTATACGGATACCGAGGTATATCGCATTCGATTACATTTTTTCGGATAATCCGTAGTTAATCAAAGTCGCGTAATCGCGTAATCGCGTTCTCGAGACAGTTGCTCCGGGCGAGTGAAGTTAGCCGTGCGCGATTTACGAAATTCTCTCCGCCACCTTCGCTTCACTTGTCGTGTCTACCTGCGCGCGGGAATCGCGGGATGTCACGGTGCGGCGTCATGGCGTCATGGGCGTCAAGCGGATCGTATAGTTTCGTTCGTAGTTTCTTCGACCGCGACGTAATTCCACGTAATTCTTCTGTCGCCGTGTAACTAAGTTTCTTAGTACCGCGTCGCGAGATTAATACCGGGAGTGCCGTGTGCCTTTAGTGTCGCGCGATCATAAGAGGAGACGATATCGACGATATCGTCGATTTTCGCTCGTGAACGTCGTCGCGTTGTGAGTGAGTGCGACAATGGACCAAGGACCAACGGAGTAACGGAGGACGATCGAGGAGAGGAGAACGGGGCCTGGGAGGCATCGGGCGACGGCGGAGCGACCGTGGGGTGAGTAGTTGTTAATTTTCTTATATATTATATTTTGCCGTCCTGTCAGTTCTGTGGTGGGCTCCGCCACTTTCGTGGTTTTTAACTACGGTGCAATTTCGGGTCGAGTCTGATCTCCGGCGTATGCGAGATATTACGTCGCGAACGTCACGTCTCTCTCTTATTCGCACGGTCGCAGTATTATTTGCACAATTTTTCGCGGATGAATTATGCGAACTAGTTAACACGGAAATATCCAGCCGCTTATTGCCGGCGGCCGCGATTGTTTTTTACATTTTAAAATCAGATATTTGTTAAAATAATGGTTTAAACGGGCAATAATTATTTACTTCGATAATTATTTACTGTCGATTATCTTGGACGTAGCTTTAATATAAAAATATTTCTTTTGTTATAGATCAACGCAGAATTACAACTCCGCTGTTGCGCATCGGCCGGTGAGTTATTTTTTGAGTAGAAGGGATAAATATATGTATATTAAGTTTATTTGTATGGTACAAATTAGTACAAATTCAGTCCTTCAAATTTCTGTATTTAATTTTCTTTTTTTCTTTTTTTTTCTTGTGGTCTTTCTAGCTTAATGCTAAGGTAGCACCGCCACGATTTTCTCCGAAATGGCACGGGATACAAAATTGTTATTAGTGGTACAAATTAGTACGAAATGGGTACTAATTATTCTGATAGGTCCGGTTTGATTCTGCCGATTTGGTCCTGCTAGCTTAGAAGAGGTGCGGGGGTGTCGCCAGCGGTGTTTGTGCGAATGGTTACGGGGTCTGTTGCATAGGTAAATATATACATTCGTTCCCCAAATTTGAATATTTCGACACTGGCCGTTTTCACGATGAAATTTCTCAATCCACATTTTTACTCCGTATATAGTCACGGTCTCCTGCGGCGGGATAACCGCCGACAACAACACACAC